GTATCTCGTGACACTTCTTCGCCGAGTTCCACCGGTGCTCTTTGAGCTCCGCAACCGTAAGGACGATTCCTTGAGCAGCCACGTGCTCTCGGATCTCCTCCGATACTTCGAAAGACGCATCTGCGTAGAACTTGAGGCGTGAGGCGTGCACGTCTGCTTCCGCTCCAGTCACTAAGTGCTGTACACGAAAGGAGTGATCGTCTGTACCAATTACCTGGTACGGACCTATCCATGTGACCAGTAGCTTGTCGTTGTGTTTTTGGTCCACCCTTGACCTCAAAACGTAGTCACCAACATCGAAGTTCGCCTTTCTGGCTGTTTTCTGTGCCTTCTGATTCCGTCTCGTTTGATTCGCCCTTGCTTCCTGCACAACCTTGTGCATCTCTTGCACCCTAGCTTGCAGCGATGCCAACTTCTTCATGATCTGGCTGGAAGTGGTACCGAGCTCAAGAAAAGCGTTGTCTTGGGTGTTAAACCCAAAGTCAAGCGGAGAAGCAGCAGGTAGGACACAGAAAAGCTCCACTGGCGCCGTGTTCCCAAGAGATGGAACCGGGGTATGGTTCAGATTTGATTGGACCACCGGAATGAAATGTGGCCAATCACGAATGTCCGCCTTGGCTTCAAGACACATTGCTCTAAAGACTTGCACTAAGTCCCTATTGAGCCTCTCAATTGATCCATTTGTCCATGGGCTATACGCCACCGTAAATCTCTGTCCACTAGTGAGACGTCTTGCCACTTCAGCCACAACTTGGTTCTTGAAGTGACCGCCTTGTGTCACTTATCCACACACGAGATGCCCCATAGCGACTGTGCCAGTCTAGTATCGCATCTGTAGTTACAGCTGCTGTTGGCACTGCGCACGGCACCAGCTCACAAAAATGAGTCGCATCGTCCTTAAGCACCAACAAGTACTTGTAGTCATCGTAGGAATAACCTAGCGTCACGTAGTCCCAATGTAAAGCCCCGTTTCGTTCATTGCACCGGAATGTATCAGCCCACGGTCGCATCACTACCTTCCCCCCTTTGACATGCTGGCATGAAGGGCAGCCAGTCAGGAAAGTCTTTACCGTAGCTGAAAGATTCCGTATGAAAAACCTCCGATTCACCACGTTCAGTAACGCTTCACGACCTCGATGGCCCTGTGCTTCACAGTGAGCGATCACTAGGAGCCGTTGCACAAGCTCGGTTTCGCTAGCCGGGACCCATATTCGGTCGCTACTGTACAGTAAGTCTTCACTTCTACATGTCAGCCCCTTCGGGCGATCCACAATGTGCCGTTGTTGAGCTACACGCAGTTCTTCGACTGTTGGCCACGCAAAATTTCCATCACTAAATGGCCGAATCGGCACCGGGATGGCGTATGTCCTACCGACAGGTTCGTCACTGTGGTTTTCGTCACGTTGGCACCGCAAGGTAATATGCTTTACAGTAACACTGGGTGAAGGGCGTGTTTCTGCCCATCGAGATACCATATCAGCCCAAGTGTTGTGTGTCCCTTCAATATGTTCGATAGTGTAGCGATACTCCATCAACTTCATTGACCATCTCAGCAGTTTTCCACGAACATGTTTTTTCACTTCACGACCTGGGGCGAAGACATGTATCAGGTTGCGGTGGTCGCAATACATGCGAAATCCACGCGGTAGCAACAGATAGCTGAGCTTGTCACAAGCCATGATAATTGGGTAGGCTTCTTTCTCTATGACACTCCAGTTCTTTTGTGCACCAGTGAAAGTACCACCAAGACGGATAAGCAGCTCGTGCTGCTGGTCCTGGATGTCTGCATCACTTTTCCAACTGGGCACTTGCGATACAATCACTGACCATCCAATGTCTGAGGCATCCGTCAGCAGGACCATCTCGCTGTCTGGATTTGGGAACGCCAGGGTGGCCGTGTCAGCCAGAGCCTGCTTCACCGCATCATACGCCTCGCATTCCTGCTCGGTAAGTGTGATCAGTATACCCGCTGCCACTCGCTTGGTCCGCCGGGAAGCCTGAGTCATTGCCTCATCCAGTGTGTCCTGCAGTGGACGTGCCAATCGGGCGTAGTCCACAATGCTGTCTCTCATCCAGTTCGTAGAACAGAGAAACTGCTGAAGTTCACCAGCGTTCGACGGTTTGGGCATGCTACGTAGAGCTTCTATTCGCTCAGGGTCATGTTTCACACCTTCACCATCTATCAACTTTCCACACCATTTTACTTCACGCTTGTACACGCAGGACTTGGCTACACTTAGCTTGAAGCCGAATTTCGCCGTGAGCTGTAGCAGTTCCTGCAATTTGTCGAGGTACGTGTCGATATCCACAGCATACAGCAGTAAGTCATCTATCCAGACTAGCAGGTGCTTGTATAACAGCGCCGCAAAGCATCTCTCGATCGTTGACTGAAAATACAAGGCTGCGTCCGCACTTCCTTGCGGAACTCTAGTTGGGGTGTAGATCTTCCTGTGGGTCATATAGGACAGCAGGTCCTGGCACTCTTTGGCGAGGGGTAGCTGCCAGTAACCTTTAATGAAGTCGAACAGTCCAAAGTGTCTGCTACCTCTAACTTTCTCCAAATCCACGTGAAGGCCTGGCATCAGACCTGCTATAACCTCTGTCTGAGCGTTAAAAGGTTTGTGGTCGACAGTCTGGCGAAAACCACCATCACCACGCTTGCGCAGTGGTAAAGCAGCACATGTTCACCGACTGGTGGGGTTCTCGTACACCCACCCCAGTTTGACGAGCATGTCGTTGAACGACTCGAGGAACGCCTGGTATTCCGGCGCATACTTGCGAGCCTTCGCCTTGTATGGTCGACAGCCCGTCTTCATCTTAATTTTCATCGGCTCGACCTTTGCAGGGGGGTCATTGCCGAGTACGAGTCTCCAGACATCGTACGCATGCACCATTGTGCGCAGCCGCTCGAGTTTATCAGCGGGAAAACCTTCCTCCAAAGCCCGCTGGAGCATTGCCTCAACAGCGACTCGGATGTCCTCAGCGTCGTTGCCTCCTACCATCACATCAGGCGTTTCTTCGTCATCATCTCCATCATTGCAGTTTGGTGTTGCCAATAGCTCCAACTGTCTCTCGACGTCAATGCCCAAAAACTTTAGCATATCATCTCCAAGTAGAAATTCATCATCCTTATTTTTCAGTATCAGACAACGGCACAGGTTTATGGATATTAACAGGTCCCGCTGCTGTCATGAGCGACAGCTTCAACTTTGTCGTCTCATGAGCCCACGTCTTCTTATCGCCAGGCAGTCTGCACTCGATCGGGTTTCCTAACCGCTCAACCTCACACTTCACACCTTGTTCTTTAAATTTTCTTTAAAGTCGTGGAGCTGATACACGATGTCACTGCTCCAGAGTCTGCACAATATTCCACATCGACAACGCCACCGACACGTAGAAATCGGGTTTGTCCCGCTCGACCAGGTGAACACTCGCTAATCCTTCTTAGGTTTACGTTGCCTCCCTTTTTTCGGCTTCCTGGTAGCGGCAGCGTCGTCCTCGGCCTTTTCTGGGCATTCAACTTGCCGGTGCTGGCCACCACAAGTCTAACAACTTTCTTTTGGCCCGGGATGGTTCTTCTCCGATTTGGTCCAAAATATCCGCGGTGCAGCCTGAGTTCCAGGTTCGCGAACGACTCGCTTACCGAGTCTAGCTATTTTCGATGGTCGTGTGGTTGCTGATTGCTTCAATTCCACCGCCTGAGAACGCTTTTTATTTCTTGACAAAGCTTTGACCTCACGGTCTATCTCCAAGGCCTTCTCACTCACAATCTTGAACAGTACCGACACGTTGGACTTAGCACCCGGAAATCTGAAGTCAATCTCGTTTTTCACTCGATTCTTTAATTCTCCAGGCAGGCTATTCAATAGCACCTTGCACTTCTTCTTAGTACCTTCCTCATCCGAGAACAAAGTAGCTAATCCATTGATTTTCACAATCGTGTTGCACAGGTGGAAGTAGTCCATAACTCGTGCATCGATATCCGACTTGGTTGTTGACATTACTAACTGGTCTTGGAACAACTCGTCAACTTTTGGTAGAGCTTTGTTTTTGAAGTTTCGTACTGTATCCATGACCCAGTTCCAGATAAACTCATCGGTAAGTTCATCTTTTGTCTTCTCCCATTTTGTCTCACACAACGTCTCGAGGAAGCTGTCGTCGAACGAGTTCTTCACAGAACGCATGACGGACTTCAGGTCTTCTCCTGACGAATCACAGCGCGCCCTCATGATCTCTTCGTACTCCAGACGTAGATCTACCCATTGGGCAAGCGCTTCATGCGAGATATCTTCCACCTTCGGCGCCACAGTGACCGCAAAGATCGGATGGGCCACCGTGGGGTAGTCCGGCCTTAGGTTCGCAGTCCTCGACATTGATCCAGTGCTTGACCTGTTAGGAGCTGGTGGAGCTCCAGATCGTCGTGTCATGCTTTCGTCTACATTGCGGGTTTCTTGCCCTTGCTCTGCGCTGGCTTGGCTTGACCCGCTTGTTCCGTTGAGGAACCGACCGTTGTCCTTGGCCGTAGTGCTCGACTCGTGCTAGTGGTCTGCAGGGTCGGTCCGGCAGCACCCACAATCTGCTGCGTCGCTGCTGCAGCAGCGTCAGCGGTTGCACTCGTCGTAGTTGCTTCGTTGTTCATGTCGTTTCCTTTGGAAACTTAAGTTAACTTTGTAGTGGGATCCGATTGAGCACACTTGCGAGGGAAGCTGGCGCTTCCTTTGAACTCTTGCTTGTATTGTACTCTGCAAAATCCAGAATGAGATAGTTGAGACTCTCTCCAGCTACTCCTACATCATCGTCTAAGTATATGCCCCAAGTCTCCGACCTCTGAGTCTTATACTATGCCAGCTCCTGCTGCGACCGTCCTCGGCCGCCAGCACAGTGCGTGGTCAGGTCCTGAAGACCGTCGCCCCACTACAATCTCTCGTCGAAGTTTGGACTCCACTCGTGGGTTTTGGCTTACGTTGTAGAAGAACCAACTCAGAGCTTGAGCGGTGGTGTCACGTCCAGCAACGAGAAAGTCGACGACAACGTCGCGTAGGTACACGGGGTCGTATTGCTGCTCCTCGCTCTTTGGTGATTTGGCAAGGATATTGAGAAAGAGTGACAACATACTGACGTTCTTCGCTCTACCGTCTTCAGGAGTTAATGCACGATTCGCAAGGACTTGTTGGACGATACTCAGCACCGCAGCATCGATCTCCTTAATGTCGAGTTGGAGCTGATCTTCCGAGCCAATACCCAATCGCTTCTGTAGCTTTCAGAACCAACGTGGGCGAACGAACCGTTGAACGGTTAGACGCTGTGCACGGTCAAAAGCTGCTTGGAACGGAGCTCTTTATTCGCTCGTAGACAATTAATTCATCGTCACTCCGAAGCTCATGTCCGTAAACACTTCGGTCGAGTAACAACTTATCAGTTTATACAAGTCCATGGAGCGATTCTTAGCACACACGTTCTTCAATACGTCGTGTAGCGCATTGGTGTGTCGGGTGGTAGGTAGCCTTAGTCATGCAGTCACGAAGCTCCTGAGTTCGGTACAAGCCACAAGCTACGTCACGTTGGTGTGCCCACTTAACTCCGTCGACGGCAAAGATGCCGTCACCCAGCAAGTCCTTCATGTCCTCAATATAGTGTGGTCCCTTAGAAAAGTTCATGAACTGATATTTGAGTACGTCCTCAAACGCCTAAGGAGTAGAGACAACGAGCATTTCAGGTAACCCCAGAGCTTTCACAGTGAACAGTCGACCTTCAAAGCGCTCACAGTTTTTCGTAATCCATTCGTGAATGTCAGTGCCTGTCAACACTCTGAGAGTGATGTGCAGCACCGGAAGAGTCCAAGGTGGCTGAGCTGCCTCCTGTCGCCCGCCCCGGTTCCGATTCGGTTATCTCTTTTGAGTCGGATGACGGAGTTTCTTGTCAATTGCACACCACCAGAAGCAGTAGCAGACTCGCGACGGCCAGTGCATTGAATAAAGGATACTCCGTCTTCTGTATCGAGACCGACAGCATTGTGCTCTATGCGACGTGATTACAAGTGGATTGGGGTGGGTCAGTAGAAGTGAAGTGTTCATTATCTTCAGCCGAGAAAACTGTGGCACTCAATTTTTCTCACTTTTAGACATCCTCTTTGCAATTGATTATAGAGTATCACGTCTTTCTTTAAGCTGAAGTCATCTTATAAGGCTTACAATTTGAATACGGAAATGCAGCTGACACCGCAAAATCCAATTTGACAGTATCAAATATCAAAGAGAAAGATATTTCTGTCTCCATTTTGAAGTACCTACGTGTGATCGACTATCTACAGATTATAATTAAGTTTGCTATGACATCTGTACAGATCGAGTCCGCGAGAACTTCTTCGGGGCTGGAGGAGGTCGCAACGACCCGGATCGATTAAGCGCAGGAGCTTTGGCTTGGCTCACTTGCTGAACTGGACGTGGCTGTTCATCTTGTGGTTGTGGTCGAGATCGTGTCTCTTGCTGGTGGTAGAAGTAGTTGTAGTTGAGCTGAGTCACGATCTCGTTCACATGAGGAGACGCGCCATGTTTCTGCATGGCTGTCAGCATCACGACCAGGAAATGTGACTGCCGCTTGAACTCCTTCGCGTTTCTAGCCATTTCGGACTGAAGAACGCGGAAATCAGGGTGCTCCGGCAAGCGAACACTCGGCACCTTACCGACTTGTTGATCCAAGTCCGAATAAGCAGGAAAATATTTCTGCACGTCTCGATCTACGGCACTCACGAACGCGTCGACTTGTCGGACGAAGCGCAAAATATGGTTGAAAGTCGTCAAGATGTACTGGATCACAGTCGCGTGCTACACAATCCACAACAATATCATGTCAAGCAGAGTCAATAAACCAGAATCAACCGCGCTTCCACACCTTATCGAGAAGAAAGAACCGGTTCAGCAAGTAGTCGAGATACTGCTCGTGAGTTGCATCCATCTTCGAACGGCAGCATGTTAGTACAGATCAAAAGTGATAAACGTTAAGAGTAAATCCCTTACCTCTGCCAACCTTCGTGAACATTTTAGGGTATCGCGATATTTAGACCATCCTTTCCTTGATACCTAACGTTATCATCGCATAGATGTGAATACAGCAGCCTCGCTACTACGCCATACGAGTAAAGCAATACAGTATCCTACCTGGCTCGTCAGATAGCTCAGTAAACTCTTGGTGTAGTGCAGCATGTCTGCGCTTTGCAGAAGCACTTGACGCATGTCCTTCTCAATACTAAAGGAAAGCATGGTGAGTCTCCATGTAGCGATCAAATATGAGCACGTTTTGACGTACTACGAGTAGCTGCGACGATGGCGAAGTGTAGACTTGAGCTGCACGAAGCAATGGGTTAGTCTGTCACTCCGGCGTACTCAATGACGCACCGCAAGCCACGTACCTTGACCAGGGCGGACTCCACTGATTTCACTTGGACGAGGAAAACTCCAAGCCTCGAGTACTTCTGCATGATCGACGCGCTAAAAAACACTCGAAGTGGCTGCTGGGCAGCGAATGTGAAGTGCATACACTTCAGTGTAGCGATATCGATTCTTGCGCTGCTTGTAGCGCTATCCAGCAGGTTAAAGTCGACACCAACAGACAACCGACCGCCAATTTGCCTCTGGGAGGATGACAACGAGTTGTCCTCGAACACTCCTTGCACTGCACTCTGATGGAACGAGTTAATTACCTCACTGTCCGCCCATGCGATAGGATTCTCTTGCATGTGCGCGATTAACCTTTCACTGAAAACGTTAAACACGTCTTGCTGTAGAGCAGAAAACATCAAAATAAGTCATCATAACCCACTTGAACAAGTGTATTTGAAATTGACTGACCTGTTCCATGAGGACGAACATTCGAAGCGCTTCCACGTGCCCCAAGTAGTTCAGTTTATCTCGAAAGATATCAGTGATCTCGCCATTAAGTTTACGACACTGTATCATCCACAACAAAACGAGTTAAAGCCTTTAAGCCATTACAAGCATAGACTGACATTGGTATTACCTTCTCTTCGAGGTGTATAGTGAGACATCGCTCCAAAATCCTGTTGAAAGGCACGCACTCCACCAATACTTGCTGGGAGGAAAGACAGCCTTCTTCACTGCGCCGCGTTACCAACGAGAAGACGCCACGATTCGGTCTACACCCCATTGTTTCCAGTTCCCTCATCAGTGATTGGTGCAAAGAGAGACCCAGTTCTTCAGGCCTCTTCACAGATTCCACTGACGTGTGTTGCTGCAAAAACCGGTTTTTCAGCTGTCGACTAGCCAAAGCCTCGTCCATCAAGGGTATCGTCGATTCCAGGAACGTCGGGACTAGAGATCGATTCACTTGAAACGGAGCGAGCAGCATCAGTCCTTCTCGAAAGCTTCGGTTTCTTCGGCTTTCGCGTACTGGAGATGCTCCAGCACTTGTCGATGCGAAGAACAGCTCTCCATCCAGAGGAATCGTCTCAAAGTGACCCCGTTCAAAGACCATCCGGTTAATTAAATCCAAGTACGGACTCAATGCTCCAGTAAATAAATGTAGCAGCACATCACATCGTGCTAAGCGACCTGAGTTTCTAGCAGCTTCGTCAGCTGTTATGCCTTCAACATACTCCACTTCCATGATACGATACAGTGAATCAAGCACACACTTCGCTTGCTCGGCACGCTTCACTTCATGCCAATGTCGATCCGAAAGACCACTAAAACACTCCATCAGGATGCCTTTGAGCCACGAGATCATCTTGAAAGTCTCCTTTAATCCTCCGTAAATTCCCAGTAACGTAGGCTGTCGTGGGGTTATTCCGGACCACGGAGTCGACTCGTCTTTTTGCAACCCTGTCACGGTGTTTGTCTGTTGTTCTACGTCACATATTGAGTCCGTCAAGCTTCTAATGACATCCGACAATGCATGAGCCAAGCCCTCCAGCGTCACGCATCTATGCTGCACACTCAGATCCCGTACTCGGCGAATAAACCCGACAAAATCTCGAAGAGTCTGCAGCTCGGTCGCTGCTTGCGTGAAAGTGTCCAGTATATGCTGTAAAGCCAAAGGTGAGAGGTGTCCGACTGCCACATTGAATGAATCTCGAGACCGTTTGACCATTTTCGTCTGGAAATCGAAACTGAAGATCGACGGCGAAGGTCTCACTGGGTGGAACTCAAACAATAGCGAGTCAACTCCATGCAACGCCTCGAAAATCATTCGCACTACTGTTTCCTCGTGGATCAGTCTACTTGGGACGGTATTATTGATTGCTACTGTGCTCTCAGCACTGGTAACCACTGCTTCACACAGCAACCACGGCCGGTCCAGCGTAAACGGCATCAGCTTTCTCGTCTCCAGCTCACACGTAGGATCAGCATCATCAACTGGCATGTCCGGTATACTAACTTCCGGATAATACCGACACAGAATCTCGTCCTGCTGTAGCTCCTCGACTGATAAGTCCATTCGTTTCCTCTCTATTTCTTGTCGTAAAGTTTGTTCCGAGCTTTCACTACGTCCTGGTTGTTGCCTCGTCACTTTCTCGTCCTCTAACGCTTCAGTTGGTCTCTTGGCGTTACGGTGACCAGCATTTACACTTCGTTCACTCTCCACTGCACTTCCATCTGCGCTATTCATGTCCCAGTCGCTCTCGTCCTCGTCACTGTCCTCCCAAGCTTGATACCATTCATCATTGGTGGAGATCTGGAACAATTCCTCCACCAGTTGATCCTGCATCAGTTTTTCCTGCTGGATTTTAAGTTGCTGCTGTTGCAACACCGTATTCCACCTGCTTTTAGTGTCTTGATCCACTGCCACTTCTTGGTCCGTGGCAGTTGTCGGAGACGTCGCTAGCTCCAGCAAAAGCTTAAGCACTTGATATTCGCATTGTGGAGCTAGCTGCAGCAGTTTGTCGGCTCGCTCCTCGAGCGAATGAACGCGGAATTTGGTAGCAAGCGCTTGGGCTTGAGCATGGACATCCTGGGGTAGAGTGTCCACAAATCGGTGCGAGTACAGCTGCCCCACGACGCGATCAGCACGCAGGAAGAGCGCCTCTTTGGAGAATGAAGACTGCTCTTCTTCATGGTTCTGGTTATTGCCGCTAATATGGGCGCAGAGCTGTCTGGCAAGCGGCCGCCACTCGCGAGTCCAGGCTGGCACCGGCGCCATTATTGAAATGAAATTTAGAAATTGTGCTGTCATTATTCAGTTTAGTGACGTGTTGAAGTGAAACATGGCTACACTTTGGTATCTTCCTCGGATGCGGGATGATCGATAAGGAAGAGAATGGCAGCTAGTTGGGCGCCAAAGGTGAAGTCTCCGGTGCTGGCTTTAAGAAAGTTGCAGTCTAGTTGGTTGAAGGACGTGCGACCGCGAGGAGAACCTGGGAAGAGAGTGGGGTGACGCATTGGGGAGAGAGGAGCACGCGGGGAACCCGGATGCGAAAATGTCCCGGCGCCAGAGAAGGAAGCGAATCGACCGCTTGAAGAACGAAGCATTGCGCGCTGTGGCGATGGTGTGTCTGCATTATTGCGACGCATCGTACCGGCGAAGTTGAGGTTGTACTGCTTTCGATAGTCTTGGAACTCGAGGTCTGTCTTCTCGATGAGCTGGTCGACGTACTCGATTGGCTCGAGCTGGAAGAGCTTCTTCATGACGAATATCAATAACGCAGACTCCTCGCTAGTGTCATCGTCTGATGCAGGCATGGCAGACGTCTCTGGTGTCATTTTTGCAGACAGTAGCGCAAAGCGCGGCCATTGCTGCTCGAATCGTTTTGCTGTTCTATCGACGATCTGTCAAGGTTAAAGCAACACAACCACGTTAGTGCAACATACAAGAGCAGCACAAAGGAGAGCTTACGTTGCTCTTTTCATGCGATAGAGTTCGAAGATGCAGCTGAAGCATCGTTTGGGTGACGCTGCGAATCTGGTCGATATGTTCGTCGTCATGGATGGTCTTTAGAATATAAAGTGCCGGTTTGAAGTAATCCACTGCTCGGTAATGCTCTCCTAGCTCTCGAGACAAACTCCCAAGTTGCATGAATGATTTCATTATCTCTTCGTGGTTGGCTGGAAGCACTTCTTTACGAAGAGCAAGAGCTGTGAGCGCAATTCCATATGCTGCTTCTGCAGCTTGACTCCCAAGCACTTGAGTGCGTAGATTTGCCAACAGATAGCAGCATTCCGCTGCAAACGCTTTGTATACAAAAACGTCTTCCACGGGATCTTGAAAGTGCCTTTCGTACACGGAGAGAGCATCTTCAAACACACCAATAACCGCCTCACCGTCGATGGAGTTTGCTGCCAGCATCAGCATCCCTTGCTGTCGTCTTATATCAGCATAAAGAAGACTAGTCTTACCAAAGCAATCGCGCACGAGTGTCACGCAACTCTGTAGAGTTTCTACGGCTTGCCCCGGATCACTCAGATCGCCGAGAATTTCGGTCATTGTCATATATGTGTCACAAAGCAGAGGATGAACTGGTCCGAGATGCCACTGGATAGGCTCTAAAGCCTTAGTAAAGCACTCCTGGGCACCAGCCAAGTCACTTGACGCATGTTTCAGCTTCATAAGAATTGTGTACGCTCGTGTCAGGTCCGCGTGATTACTCGGAGATTCCTCAATCGCTAACGTTGCTAGCTTTTTCGCTTGGTCGGGCAAGTTCATCGCCAGCGATATGTTGGCAGCGCACGTTAACAAGTGACACAGCGACAAGTTGCGTTCATCACTTGGAGCTGTTTCCAAAATGTAGATATGGAACATGATGCTTGAAAGTGCGCTACTGAGTTCTCCCGCTGCCAGGAAGGCGTCGGCACTTTCCAGCACTCTTTCGCACGCTGCTGTTGTTCGAGCAAGCAGCGTGGTGCGAGGACTGATGCATTGTATGTTCTGGAGGGCAATCGGCTCTGCGCCTTTAAAGTTGTAGTTCATGTGGTCGCTGAAGTAAGCGCCCGTCTGGGCTTGAAGTGCATGAAACAACTGTGGCATGTGAAGCAAGTCTTCGCTGATGATGGTATCCAAGTTCAGTGCTTTTTGTGAAATGCCGAATTTGGCATAGACTTGCGGTAGAATCCTCCGTTCCCAAAACGTTTTCGAGCCACGAGATGAGGTACCAAAAACAAGATTGACAAACTCCAACGTGACATGAGAGGCCTGCTCTTGCAGAGCCATCTTCGCAAGTGCTCGGGCTGTCGCAGGATCAATGCTGCGGTTGTCATCTCCATCGTTGGCGTCGCCGTTTTCGCTGTTTCCTGTAGCTTTAGCCTGCCTTAAGATTGATGTTGTAACTTCAGGAAGAATCAGTCGCAGTGATGCTCTGAACTCAATCTTGCAAGCTCGTGCTACCATCTCGGCGAGCAAAGCACGACGAATGTGCTTCAGTGATGCCAGCTCGTAGCAAGAAGCTAAGTAGCGCACATTAATACCTTCTCCGTGCAGCGCTCGCGTTAGTGACCTACTATCGATCACTTGTGTCGTTCCGCTTTCCAGATCTGCAACAAATTCCGGGATGATGACGGTGTGCAAGCACTCTTGCGCACTTATAGCAGATTGCTGAAGTAACTGTGCCTCGAGTTGAGATCTGGTTGAAGCACGTTGCTCCACAGAGGGTTCTTGCTCAATAGAAATATGGGTATTGGAGTGAAGCGGTAAGTTGTTCCCATGCATTCGAACGAATTCGGGGCGCATCTTGTACATCAAAGCTTCGCGAGCAATTGAATCAGGGTCATCGCTTGATACATCGGCAGGGATAAGATCAGCCAGATTCTGCAACTTAAAAACTGATGCACCATCTCGTATCGCGACAGTAAACCCAGCGCTGACAGGAAAGAAGGCAGGGACCGTGCTAATTGTTGTGGCAGCATCTTTTTCCTCATCTCGAGTGTGTAAGCTGTCTGTGAGAAGTCCGAGATTGTCAAACACAGGTTTGAGCTGGTCTTGGAGCCGCTTGACGCGATTTTTCTTGGCTTGACTTCCCAAATCCCGACGCGTGCTCTTTAGTGCCGAATCGGTAGATGCGATAACGAAGGCTCGGAACCCAAGATGATCCACTATACACTGAAGGGGAACCTGTAGCGCAATATATTGCGAGCTGGCTTGTGGATCGTTCTTAGTTTCCTCGATGGCTTCATGTATTGTCCTCGCAGCACGAACTTGATGGCCGACCATTCTATGGAATATTGCTATGGATGCTGTATTTTGCTTCTTTTCACGTGCCGCACCACTTGATGAGCTGCTAGAGCACAAGTAAACCAGTAACCCGTCCCGTTGGAACTTTAGCATCACACGAAGCAGAGCGCTATACTGCTGAACGCCATCCGTCGCGAAAACCTCGTCATCATCAAGACTCTGAGGCTGCAACGTCTTGTGCGCGTCCTCTAAAGTCATCTCCGCTACAATTTCACTCACTATTACCTCGGCAGCTTGGCGAAACTCCGCTAGAATACCTGATATCTCAGATCCGGTAGTTAACACATCGGTGGATACGCCTTTAGACAGGAGATCGTTGTATCTTTGATCCCAATCCGTTTTTACTTGGCAAATCAAGAGTTTTGATGCCGCGACACGAGCACTTGAGCTACGAGACGAAGTTCTCTCGGTCAGTTCTGGTGGTTTGCTTACTTCGACAGCAATCTGGTTGTTAGTACGCTCCGCTTTTACTCGGTTCATCACTTCTTGTGCGCAATAGTAACTCTGAAGCCAGGTCAACAGTCTCGTTCGAGTAATTACTCCATGGCGACCGAGATCAAGTTGTTGTTGCATCAGTGCAAGCTCCGAGTCCTTTCCCTCCCAACCTATGTGAAAAAATCAAAACAACTTCGATGTAAGGAGCCACACATAGTATCTAGAGTTCAAACATGTACGCGTCATCGTCTGGTGTGAAAGGATATAGTTCGAAGAAGACCACGGAGCTTTCCTGAATCGATTTTCCCTGTGTTCCGCGGATCAATCTGCAGCCATTTCAATGATGTCACATCAATACATTGTATAGTAGTGATTCCAGCTCAATAAAATGAATTTACCTCAGAGAAGGCTTCTGCCGCCCGACGAATTTTCTCAGAGATTCTAGGATGACACAAACATGACGTGAATTTCTGCTTTCTCATCCTCAAGGTTCGATGAGGATCATTACACCGGAGAAACTGGAGCATCAGATGGAAGACATAGTCGCGTCTAAAGATGTAGATAACATATACTCAATACCTCCATCTTGCATCGTAGAGAACACAGACGTACTGTAAGTGCGAATCGCCACTCCGCCAATTCCTTCTCGGACGAGCACGCAAACGTCACTGGCTTCGACGACTTCACATACTCCTCAGTCGTGCCCCGCTCATTATACACAGTATACTGCAACACTTACCTTCGCTATAGTCTCTAGTTGGAAGGCAAACTTGCGGTTCACTTTTTTCTACATCAAAGCGCAGAATGTGACTTCAACGCTCTTTTGTTTTGGTATTGGGATATACGGACCTCGTCCGCCACTGCGAGCTTGTAGTCTGTGAGCTCATACGAGCTGCTCTGACGCGAGCTGCCGAGTGAGAAAACTTGCTGCTCTACAGCCATGGGGAAGCATTTGAGCAACGTGCCGTCCAGATGTACCCACTTCTCGGTCCATTTGGGACCAAACAAGCCCAATCCAAGCTGCGGTGGCATAAGGGAACACACGTTCGCACAATGGAGGGCACAAAGCTTTGTCATGAAGGCACAGTACCTTGTGCAGCTTGCCGGACTTGGGCTCCATCGGCGCGGGATCTTGGCGAGTGCGGAAACCGTTGCCCGTCCCTTCACTTCAACCCAGAGTGATGGTCGTACTTAGTTTGAGAGGTGTTGTCTTAAATATTTCGTCTGCGTGTTTTTGGGTGCGCCACACCGACGGAATGCGTTGTCGAAATGCGGTGCTGCGATTGGTCGCTTGTCAGATTTTTCAATGTAGCCATTCACTGGAGCCACACATTTGCAGAATCATTCCACAATTGACGGTAATCCGACACACTCGTCCAAGAAACATGAGCGAGGTAACGTGGAGCAAAGAGGAGGTGATCAAGGCCTTCGAGGACGCGGGCAACCTCAAGTTCCTTGAGCATATCAACCTGTCCAACACGGAGAAGTGTACGGAGGAGTCCCCCGTTTACATTTTCTACATGCGCGGCCTGCAGTGCTCGCGCGATCCTCGTCTGGCCTACCACTTCTGGGCGAATTATGCCGGTCGGCACCAGTTCCACCTGTTCACGAGCCAGCCCAAGAGCGAGTGCATCAATGCCACTATCTACCTCTACGTGCCTGACCTGGACGCTATCGAGAAGAGCCTCGAGTCTATTGCTGACGAGCTTAAGGGCACCAAGTTCGCTTTCGAGCGCATTAACCGCGGCGGAGAGACCACTATCGACTACCCGCAGGAGAAATGGCACGAGATGTTCGACGCGACTAAGTACGACCACCTTAAGGTGAACGACCCGTACGGTAACGAGCTGCGTCTCAATGTCACGCCGCGTAATTACAACTCGATTAACCTGTCGCTAGGTAAGACACTGCCCGTTACGGACGATGTTCCCGGTGTGGCTCAGGGTCTCCCGTTCCTGGTGTACCCGTGTCGTCCGGGTATCGCTCAAGGGATTTCCCGCTTCTTCGAGTACTACTTGGGTGCCAAGACCGTGGTCACTAAGAAGGAAGGCAATGTGGAGCTCTACTGCACGACGGTGTTCTGTGGTCCCTTGCAAGCGATCGTCTTTGACGAGCAGGAGTCCCAGAAGGACAGCAAGGGCGAGTACGATGGCCACCACGTGTGCATCCACATTGACCGCTTCAAGGAGTTCTACGACAAGGCTTCCAAGGAGTCCATGCAATGGAACAACGTGCTGTTCTTCGACCGCTGCGACACGTGGTTCGAGGCCAACCGCGACCAGCAGTACCGTATTCTGCACCTGATCGACCCTGTGGACAAGAAGTTCCTCATGTCCTTCGAGATGGAGATCCGCTCGGCCCAGCACTTTCGATACCTCATCCACCGTAGCGACGTGACCGCGGAAGAGGAAGCCGCCAACGAAGTGCTACGAAAGAAGATCCTGTAGATTTTGCTATGCAGTTTATTGCTGACAAATTTTGGTTCGGCTCGGCGCAGCGCAGAGCTCCGTCGA